GACTTAACTAAACATCTAATTTGAACCACTGCTATATTCAACATACCAGGTAACAGACAAAAATCAATGTTTATATGTGTTTTTGAATTAAGAAATTGAGTAATATATAGTACCAAAATTTGAGTTATAATCTACATAAATTCATGAAATAGTAGTTCAATAAAATTTTGAATTCGAGTCAACAAACGAGATGACATGGCCTTTCACCCGTAACTCATCTCGAAAGGGTTAAAGCAAAGCCATATTGGGCCATCACCTGTGTTCACCATGGGGAATCGAACCCCGGAAATTATCAATACATTAAATACCCTATTTCATATATACATCCTTCAATGTACAGTCATTGAGAAGCAATCTGGGTACCAACTTTGTCACAAACAAATGCACATTCTTGTCATAAGCTCATATAAGTTGAGTAAAATGTAAAAAACCTTGATAAGCTCATTCCATAAAACTGCATTGTATCACAGTATTATTCTCGTATATGATATCAATAAAAGACTTAGAAAAAATTAAGCTCTAATTTGAAACATAATAAGTATTGACAAGATCATGTACTAATTTAGCCTTAGGTATAACTTTCTGTAGCAAAACGTGGACAATTGTACTAAACTATCTTTACTATGGGTGGCTGTTCTACAACATTACATGGAGTAGAGATATCTGTAATCCAATTTTGTGTATGATCAGCTGTCAAAAGAATGAAGAATTGTATTCTAGATTTGTCAGTTGTTGAGTGAGCCATAATCTACTGTAGAAATACAAGATTGAGTACATTATATTACAATTTTTTCAACATGCAGATTAGCAAGTTTTTGTGACAACCATTGCAGTGCAATGTAGAACTTTTCTTTCACATTTCTTAGTATTTTAGAGGTAGTAGTATAACACTGAAAATCAATCAGTTTTGAGAAAGGTATGTAAAAGCCCTATCTGACACTTAAGTATTCATACTTTTGGATCACAAAGATTTGTTAAGATTGGGGATTTAAGATTCCTCTTATATGTAATGGCATTGAGAAACAATATGGATCAACTTCGGGTAGCAGGACTATCCAGAAAGAGAACTGCAACATACTTCACCCCAACCACGGTAAGCAAAATGTGGCATCTTATAGAAGGTGAGAATCCACAAAAGTCGGCAGAAAAAGCCATGCATATGACCCAGGCAGTGGCACACACCATAATCAGGAAGGATCTCTATCTGGAAATGAGGTCTGTAGGGTATGGATTCACCAAGATAAAGTTACCAGTCGTACCTCCCATTCAACCTTTGAACACCTCGTGCAGGTGGAGAATATAACATATATTCACGACATTTCATACAAACACATACTAGTGAAGTTACCAGGTGAAATGTGATCAGACTGTTGAAATAGGCACTACAAAACAGCCATCCTCATACAGTAGCTGAATTATGGTAAGATATCAGGGAAGAGTGTTTTGCTTTGGACATGCTGCCTTGCAGCATGGCTCTTTGAAACGAAACACACTGCAGGGCTATTATCAAGATACATGTTCTGTTGATACACCATGACTAGACATGG